TTTTTTAAATGAAATTATATAATTTTTTTTATATAATATGATTCCTCTAATTATTCTGCATATAAAAGTATTAAGGTAGAGAGATATCATAAAACCAATAGTTTATGAGATATTTTATATTTTATTGTGGCATCCCTAGTAGAAATTTCCCCGTCAGTGCCACGATACTGGCCAGCGCCACGATACTTATTGCCACTGCTTTGCCATGCCATAACTTCTTAAAAAAATCTGACATGGGCTACGTTTACACCGTGCGCTTAGTCCGCGACCTATACGATAGATATCTTTGTTTAATTTACAGGATAAACAAGGACATCTATTGTATAAGTCGCGGCCTAAATGCACGGTGTAAACGTAGCCCATGTCAGATTTTTTTAAGAGGTCCATAAGAGGCTTAAAAGTCTTGCGCCTGATATGGACCTGGTATGGACATAGCTGAGCATTCGCAGTAAAATTTATTAAATAGTCTAACGTAGCCCAGGCTTGCGCCTCACATGATGAAATTATGATCGCAGCGCTTGTTCATATCGCAGTATTTCGTAGCTAACAGATTTTTGTAACCTGAATAGTCGTAAACTTTAACGATTAATCAATAAGGAAAGAATATAATGCCAATGAGAGCCGACACAATTAGACGTGTGTAATCAAATACGATATATGTATATGTCAATCAATAGATACTAGGTCGTTTCGACCAGCAAGATTGGGCCTTCCTTAATGTATAAATAACAAATTCAGAATCCAAATATAAGTTATACAATAGGTAGTTTGCAATTATTGAATCATCGCTAGACTGTTGTCCAACTTTAAAACTTCTTTATCGTTGTATATCGTATTATTTGATTACATACGTCTAATTGTGTCGGCTCTCATTGGCATTATATTCTTTACTTATTGATTTATTATTTGGAGCCTTCATTCAACTTTAATTGTTTAATGATTAATATCTCAAACTCGCAAGGCAGAGTAACGCTTTTTTTTACCAGATTCTTTCGTTTTATGCAAAACCACATCAAGTAAGCCTAATCTCATTGATTTTTGAGGTGGCAGTAGCGAAAATAATTATTACCCTTTTTTCTTGTCAAATCTTCATTTTTACATGAAAAATCAGGCTTACTGAATGTGTTTTTTCATAAAACGAAGGAATCTGGCAGAAAAAAGCATCACTCTGCCCCGTGAGTCTGAGATATTAATCTTACGAATATTGAAGTTAAAAAGCCTGTCAGCCTGGTGCTGACAAGTATCGTGTCAGTGCCGAAGACAATCACTTCTCGACGGAAAAAACAAGGATAGGATAGACTGGGGAAGAAAAACACTAGAACACAAACATAAATAGCACAGTCAAACACGGCCATACTTTCGCTCAAAAATAAAACATGCAACACTCAGATCGCAGTGAGATAAAACACGTCCGCCACCACGGTCAAATGATCTCTCGAGACTGAGGACAATCGCTTTGTCATTATCATTTCCTAACTAAGTTAATAAATATAATATTAGTGTATTATTTCATTTCCATGTAATTTCCTCAAATATTAATAATATTAAACTGTCAATAGAGGCATGAAATTAAGAATGGTTACAGTAGGAGGTATCTGGAGACACGGTAGTGTCTCGGCACTAAGCCAAGCGCAGTGACATTGACGTGCCTTCTTTACGCGAACCGACGAGTTGCGCTGGATGGAGATTATCGGATCTCAATAACGGCTGAACCGATCGCGTTTTATACACGCTCAATCGATAGCCACCGCACGGATTATATGATAACAGTGCTTTTATTTTTTTTCTACGTGCCCTACGAGCGGAGATATTGCGATGCAAAGTCAGGATCTGTCACTTTTCACATTCAGATTCAGATACGTCGATATTGTCGTCGACCAGGAAAAATGTACGTCTCGTTTCTTTGATAATAGATGGCTTTTGACTTAACCAAGTGATGGCAGCATTGCACATTCGAACGTGATCAACCACACATGACGGCTGTGATAATCAGCGATGGCAACTTTATTAATTAAAATTAAAATTATTATTAAAATTAAAATTAAAATTAAAATT